ATAATGTATGCTATACGAAGTTATTACCAGCTCCGCCAGCTCCAGCCCCAGGTCCTGCGCGATGCGGCCCACGAAGGTGCCGTGTTTGGCCTCCTCGGCGACGGAGTAGTGGATCTGGCCGCTCCCCGCCTCCCAGGCTACAAGGAGCAGAAGCAAAAGCAGCAGGCGCGGGGCTCCCTGGCCACCTGGTCCGGAAGCTAATGTCATGCTCTCTTTTGGTTAGTAAAACAATATTTCATGAGTAGAAAGATGTAGCTCCTTTGAGACGTTTCTTTTGATTCTTTGCTCCTGAGGTCCCAGCTGATCTTAACAATATGGGTGTGCTTATAGGCTTTAAGGCCCCGGAGCAGTGGAGCATCTTTCTCATCCAGGAATAATCTGATTTTCTTCGGTTAAAAAAGAAAAGAAAAACTCTTCTTGGAGAACAGCGACATCCTGTGGCTCATATTGTAAAGCGCGTTTCAGTTTATATTATTTCACTTACCTTGTTTCTTTCCTAATTCTTTCATATTTGTCCATGTTTTTCTTTGTGGGCTTTTAAGTCATTCACCATATCTTCTTTGTGCGTCGCCAGAAGCTCGTCAAAGGTGGTTTTGTCTTACAAATTAGAATTCCAGGAAGAATTTTGTCTTGTATACAGACATCTAAGAGAATGTATTACTACACTAACTCATATATATAAATATTTAAAAGACCATATTTGTAGGATACTAGTGATACTGTGGTTTTAGATTTTTCAGAAACTGATAATTTCGGAATGACTTCTTATAAGGTCTATTCCTACCACTCTTTAATTTTCTATTGTATAATCCTTATGCTATGTTAAATTATTCTAAACTGTTGGACTAGTGTGTAGAGAATAACCCAAGATGAAAATTCTCTAAATTGCCATCTCGACATAATGGAATTTCAAGTCAATGGTGGTAAGCTATTTATCAGTTTATCCAAAGATTTCTTTGCTTTGATGTTAATTAGTTTACCCTGTACTGACTCCTGAAAACACAAAGTATATTTATAAGGCTTTGTTTCATTTTAAAACTTGTTTTCAATCACTGTATAAGCTCAGGGTGAATGTTGTACTTTCCATTCTGAAGGACTACTTCAATGTGCATTATCTTCATTGCTTATTTGCTTATTTGGCAAAGATAATCTCTTTCTCAACCAAAAAAAAAAAAAACCCACTGAATCAGGCATTCAAATTACATGTCTGTTTATACCCATTTTTGCCCAGAGTTGGTCTGAGGAGGCTAGAATATAAAGATTATTCTATGTCTCATTCATTCAGTCAATTTTATTTTTCTGTTTTTATCTCAAATACAAAAAAAAATACATTGAAATTTGCATAACAACTTCTATGAATTGCAATAAAGTTTAGCACGCTGTCTTAGAGAAGAAAAATGTTTTAATCATTCTCAAGGCTGTAAGAAACCAACTATCCAACATCTGAATCCCTCCAATAAGATGAAAACAGTTGAGAAAAATCCCAAATTTCCCTACTAAAAAACAATTATATATTGATACCCAAGGGAATCTTAGGTTTTACATAAAAGTGAGCCTCAATCTTCATTTTGAAGCCTTTGTAAAAATAGCAATTCAATGATAATAAATCTATGCCAAAGATTTACAGTTCTGATTACTTCTAATTACTTTTTTATTGTGGAAGACATAAATTCTAGACCAATATTTTGCATAAAGAAAAGAACAAGAAAAATTTTAGCACATGAAGGTGACCAAGTTCAAAAAGAGTGATGTTTTAAAAAACAAATTTAAAAAACAGGTTTAAACTTTTTACAAGTTTTAAAAAAACCTTTTTATGTTTGCTGATTGAAATGATCCAGTCTCTCTGGGAATGACTTCATGCTGAAGGTCCATTCCATTATTGGTTTAAAGAATTGCCTCATTAATTATGTAATATAAAGAATAATTTTAAAGCCCCCAAATCCCAAGGCTTTCATATAGCCGATAACTAAAGTATACCAATAAAGCTATGGGTTAGTTACTCATCTCAAAACAGACTACCACAAATACTGTATCAACGAGAACTAAAAAGCACTCATGATTATCCTCATTTTAATGTTACATAATAAAGACTATGTTAAACATGATTTTAAAAATAAGATGTTACAGTTTTAAAAGAAATGAACTAACTACTTTTTCGGCAAGGATGTGAAAAGCAATCCTTGATTTGAGAGATTTTCTGGTTTCATACAATTTCTGAACTGAATGAAAGAAATTGTCCACAAAGTTTTTAGAAAATATTTATCTTAATGACAAAGCCATAGGAAGACACTGTCAGACTGAAATCAGTAAAATTTGTCTTTGCTACCTCTTGATTTCTCATTCTGAGCTCTCTCCTCATTTCTTCTCTTTTCTGCATTTTCTCCTCCATATATCTTAGTGTTATTATGCTGCTGGATAAAATACTAATGTATTCATGTTAAAATTTGTATTTTTAAAGAAAACATAACCAAAAGAGGGCAAAGTAAAATAAACAGGACTAAATTGGTAAACATATAATTCTATATTTTATTAGTAGCTCAGGTAAAGAGATATCTTTGGATAAGATTGTTTTGCAGAGATTGCACATGAACATTATAAAGGGCCATTAGAAAGGGCAGATGTAAAAAAAAATTGGACATACAAGTTGAAATTATGCCAAGTATGAAGGTTATTGACAGGTCTGAGGATTTATGGTTACAGAAGCTCAGAAAACACTCAATTCCAAAAAGTAATTAAAAGTCACTATTTTCAGTTTGGTAGTGGGAAATCACAATACGCACTTTAGAGAATGAGAAAAGAAAAGATTGAGCTATATATTAATTTTAAATAAACTTTTAATGGTATCTTCTTTGGTTGTATACTGTAACAACATTATTGCTCTGAGTTTAATCAGAGACCACTTTGTAAAAAAACTTTTAATAATATAAAAAACTGCTGAGTGAAAAATAGTCATAGATCTGAAAAAATACACAGTAACTCAGTACATTTATACCTACATTAGAAAGAACAAGGAATTATAAAAGCAAAGATATCCATAGTTACATATATGCAACAATGAGCATTCTCTTTCTAAAGGATAGGGGACCCAACTAGGATATCTTCACCTTGGAGGTTAAATCGCCTTTTAATATCTACACTTCAAGACTAGAAATTATAGGAATTTAAATTAGTATTGGTGGAGAGATGGATGCACCTGCAGAACTGAGACTTTGATGATTGGTATGAGCTCTTACTAAATTAAAAGAGATACTTCAGCATGATATAAGATATTCAGGAAAATGTTTTCCAAATATTGGAGAAGAAAACATATATTTCATAAACATATTTGATATGGTAGTAACAAATACATTCTAAAACTCTGCATTAACTTATCATCTATAATCTCTAAGGATTGGAGACAAGCCATGTCTTCATTAACATTGTAGCCAAGGCCATTCTTAAATTCCTGCCACAATTGTCTTTTTTGGTATTCCTAAATGTGAACAATACTTTCAACCTTTATTGGAAGCTGCTTACAAAGAACATACTAAGTAATAAATTCATTATATTCTTCATACTTAAAGGGAAGGAGAATGGAAAAAGCAATTGCTAAGAACCAGAGTCAAGATGATAAATAAGTTGCATTGATTTTTGGTAAAACTGGAATTAATAAAACATACAAAAAATAAAATCATGGGTATCAGGTAACAACCAGCTTCACCAAAACATAATTGATCAGGTAGTTTTGCCACTGTGCAACTTAATTCGCTTGCATTTCTGAATCTATATCATCCAAACCAACTTTATTTAAAATGATTAGGGAAGTTATTAAACTAAACTGCACTAAGTAATATCAGATCAGTAGAAAACATTCTAAGACAATAATTCAATTTTTCTCCTCAGACTTCTAATATTAATTTAGACTAAAGTAAGCATTTTCAATATCTCCTTACAATTAAGAATGATTTCTCAAATGCTTCCTATTATTAAATATAGTCACGATTCCTTCCTCAATGTGGAAGAGCTTATATTTGAAAATTATAAGCAATGCTTAATGCTGATAAAGGAGCAGATAATGAAGTTCTGCTGGATAAAATTATGTAAATAACTATGAAGCTCACTTTTTTTCTGCTAACAAAAGTGAATAATACACACTGGCACAGATACTGCAACTACCAAAATAAAAATGAAAACAAGAAACATTTTTAAAGCTCAAACAATTTAACTTAATTCTCAAGATTAGGAGCTTTTTAGCAATGAACTGCCAGTCTACTCACTACATTATTGAGAAAATATATATAATCACTGAATATTGAAGATCTAGTATGCCATATGAGTTATGGTGCACTACACGTATTTTGTAATTAGAGAACAAAAAAAGCACATTTTCACCAAAAAGAGATATTGATCAGTGCAGTCTTTTTGTTAATGCAATAGATTTAAGTCAAAATTTTTTGTTCTTGTTTTGTTTTGTGACCGGTAAGGAGAGCGGAACCCTTGGCTTGGTGTCGCCCGCACCACGCACAGCCAGTGAGCGCACCGGCCATCCCTATATGGGATCCGAACCTGCGGCCTCAGCGCTCCCAACGCCGCACGCTCCAGAGTGAGCCACGGGTTCGGCCCTTTTTGTTCTTGTTTTTATTTTTTATACTTTTTGTGTTTCATTTTCTTCTTCAGATTATTTTATTTTTTTCAAGTCAAAATTTAAATTTGAAAATGAAACAAATATGAATTAAAGTACTAGTCTTACAAATATTTGTAAATAACAAAGGAGTAGGTATAAAAATAATCAAAACTGCAGCCTAAATCAAATATTAGTATTAGGAAACTAATGCATTTCGAATAAATGGCTATTTTTAAAAGTGAAGTATTAAGCAAACGTTGATACACTGGGTAGGTTAGACAAAATATAAAATAAACTCCTGAAATAAAATATATTACAAAAGGTATTACTAGAAATATTTGAGCATAAATGGTATGTAGCCAAATAATGTAAATATTCTGAGACATGTTTCAAGAAAACAATGCGAGGAGAGAAAATACTATTGGCAAAGCAAAATATGAAAATGAAAATGTAATAATAACGTACCTTCCTAGAGTGGTCCCCTTGATTAGACTGATCTTCCACTTCCACATCTGCCACTGGAAAGGGCGGAAGGCTGGGGCTGAAGGCCATGAGGTCGGTCTTGGGCGGCCCCTCCCCAGAGCACCCCCCCTGCCGCCTCTGCTGCGAGTACGACCAGCTCCCCACCGCGCTGGAACACACCAGCGTGGCCTTCCCCTGTCCACTCGCGCTCTCTGTGAGCGGCGCCGAGCACCTCAGCGCCGTGTACATCAGCAGTGTCAGCACCAACAAGCTGGACACAGAGCAGAGGGCGATGATCAGATACACGTTGACATCTACCAGCGCAGCCTCTGGGCCTACTATACCAGCTGATGCCTGCGACGACGCCTTCGGCGCCTGGCCG